ATATATATATATATATATATATATATATATATATATATACATACATATATAATATATACATATACACTATATAATATATATATATATATAATATAATATATTCATGTACGTTGTGGACATATTCATGTACGTCTTTTCACGGCACGCAGGGCTGCCTGAAGGGAGTACGGTTTGTGGTATCTTGTCTGGGTAAAACGTTTCAAAACGACAGTACACCACGTCATGATGTTGATGTGGGTGCCAACATAAACCTGATGAACGAGGCTAAGCAGACGGAAGGCATCGAACGATTCTGTTTGTTGAGTGTGTTCATGGCGAGCGTGGAGCACCCCGTGAGCATGATAAGGATGAAAGGTGTGCTGTGTGTATACGCGAGTAGGTGATTTAGTACGTATAAGTTATCAAATAAGCAACTATGTATTCACATCTGATTGCGTATGTTCGAGTATGTGCAATATATGTCGAGTGTATATCGCGAGGGGAGAATCGAGAGGCGAGCTTAGAATGTCAGGGGATAGAGACATACTTGAAGACGTAGACATATACATTACTAGTGCTCAAATACTGACGTGGAGCTCAATCAATTTACATTTTGTCAATGCTATAAGGAATAGCCTTTTAAACGAAACCACTTTTGGGTTGAAGTGACTGTGTTCAAGAACAGTTAAATTAATCTCATCACCTGATATTCACGTGGTTGCTCCTCTATAATCTAGGAGAAGCGGAAAAAGCCCTTCATGACAGTGGGCTGTCATACACAATCATTCAGCCGAGCGGATTCTTCTCAGATATGTGGGAAATCTTTGAAATGGCACGAAGTGGGACGTATTGGTCCGTAGGAGATGGCACGTACAAGTTCAACCCAATTTCGCTGGTGGACCTGGGCGACTTTCTCGTGAGTAAACTGCTGAATGCGGAATCCATCAATCAGACCTACCCAGTTGGTATGGGAACAGACAATAGCAAACTTTCTAGATTCTGAATCCGTTGCTCCACCTGCTGTGTTATCGTGCATGAGAGTGTGCAGGTTACATCCTTTGTGCGGGTGCACGGGCACAAACAAGGCGTAGACGTAATGTGTTGTGAATTGATACATTGGTATGGATTCTATACGTGGTGGTCTTTACTTCGTCTAATTCGAGTGGCTTAATGACTCGCCCTTGGTATGCAGGCGATGCTTTATTCATATATATACCGGGATGGCGTATTTTGGTCTGATTATTACATATACAACTGGATTCGTTTCACGAGAATGTATTTTCGTGTTCTGACATTCGTGTGTATATCACCTAATTGCGGAACAAAATGAACGAAAAAAATTCAATTAAAATCCGAATATTAATGTATACAAGGTATGTTAAAACATAGATACTGATTCTGTAAATATATGGCGTTTCTATCGTTGTGTGCATATATAGCAGGATATTCTGTTTATCTACCAAGTCCCAGTCACTTAATGCAACTGTGTATGGATGTGTTGCAGGTGGTCCCGACGTGTTTCCGGCAAAGGAAGTTGCTGCAATCGCCAGCCGTGTATTGAACAAAGAAGTGAAGATCCATTGCCTACCACTTTGGCTGTGTAAAGGTTTGGTGGGGATGGTGGCACCCTTCTCCCGGAACTACTACGAGCTGGGTAATTTCTTCGTGGGTAATGCCGATTATATTGCGAAGAATTGCGACAATGATGGTTCTGTGCCTTGCTATGGAGTGCACCATCTTGAAGATTACATCAGGGAAAGGTACACCCGTGAACAGGCAGAGAATGCACAAAAGTGAGCGGTGACTAAAGCCCGCGTGTATGCGCTAGTATTTCCGTTTTCTGATGCACCCTCAAACACGACTTTGGCGACTGACTTTGCTTGTATCTTTACTGATCAATTATGACTTACTGTACAAGTGAAATCGCGCGGTAACATGTTAAAAGGGTTGATTTTTGTTCTTATTCACCACGGTGATTTTGCATTTCTGTATACTGTCTAACTGTATTGTAGTGGGGAAGTAGTCCAGGTCGTGCACAGTGAAAAAAAAAATCATGCCTAAGGTTTGAACAATGAGCTATAAAGACTGGTTTACTTGAAGATAGGACAAGAGACTGCTGTGATATATTATGTCGGCAAATTAATCTGGCTTTAAGATTCGGCGAGCTTTGGAGATAAATTGTTCAATGTAGCTATTGCATGGATAGGGTGATATGACTGAGAGGACGAGAATACTCGTGGACCTATCATCGAATGTTGAAAGTTCGACTACACACCTCATGATGGAATGTCACAGAGTTCAAGTTTATATAAAATATCTGGGTGGCGCGATGCGCCAAAGATAGAGTTTATCAACAGTCTCATCACCGCTTAGGGTTCTGCAAGTCTGTTGTAGTCGTGGAGGTAAAACCCCCCTGAGCCAGTGTCTTTGCGAAGGCGATGAGATTGATAGGATGAGTCCAATCCAATGGCTTCAGAACTTCACTCATCAAACGATAACACAATATATAATTTGTCGCTAGATACTGTTGGAGTTTCTATGACGATAACACACGGCTACTAACTGATTCCTATGTCGATACCACAATGCTACTGATGAAGTTTTTTTTTGCGCATCAGAAGATCATCGGGTTGACAGCACCAATTTGTTGCTCACAGCGCGGGTAAATTTGTATAAGACAACCCCAATAATGTACCGAGGTCATGCATAATTTTCTCTATAGGGCTTGCTTGCACACTCATATCAACCTTTTGCAAGGTCGCCACACTACTTCAAACGGACATGTACTGTGAATGACGCAGATGAAAGACATCACATGCTTGTATTAGAACTACGCAAAGGATCCACTGGAAAGCGATATGGATGAAGAGATCCTGAAAAGAAAGGGTCAGATGCTTACATGCGCACTGGAATCAGGCGCGTACTCTCAAAAGGTACATAAACTACATAACCCAACAACATATGCTAATCCTTTACTAAATTTTATGGCGTCTGCGCTCCGATCTACAGAATCAATGCAGGTCAGAACGCGTGCAGTTAGATTTGTACTAGAGAGATGTGTAGTCGTGCTGTTTGCCATCTACAAACGACAATCCCGGGGTTTAATACGGGCGATCGTAAGGCACATGAAACAAAATGAGACGGTGCTCCTAAGCATACAACTCATTTGCTCCTCTCAAACCGCATTGAAGAGCATGCTAAAATTAACTATATTTGATCTGCGTGCGATGTTGTCTTCTATTCCACTGCAGTTCATATTTGAAAAGCGTCGTGTCGATACGCTATACACGAATCGTGCGCAAGTATGATCATAGACTACTAGAATTGATCCTTGAGTGATTTCACAATACTTGAGCGTATGTTTCCCAGGATAGTCATAGCGCATAGCGCCCTCTTCCCCCCACTTAGTGCTGATTGACGGTCAGGCGTATTAGATGTTTTGTGATTGGCAGCTCTTATTCTCAACGCTTTCGCGTTCGAGTCTGCGTGTCAGAAACAATTTCGCGATCATGCACTTCGGGCTTGTCGATGCCGTTGTCCAAACGGGATCGATGTTTAGACTCTGACGTTACTATTAGGATGACACTGGACAGGGCACGATCCGATGTTTCTTGCTTCTGTATTCGATTACAGATATTTTCTCGACCAAACTTGGGCCACGGTGCAATCATGTATATGGCGAGACCGGATGCAAGTTATCGTCCACTGAAATTAGTAGGCTAGCTTACTGTGGTATTGCTGATATGCAGCAACAAATCCTGACGTACATAGACACTCTGGCCCGTGATATATTCATCATCCCTTCAGAGACTTGTAGATGACAAGTGCTCACCCATTCACCTGTATGAGATGTGCTCGCTCAAACCACAGGTATAGCCTAGGTATGGCCTGTACTGGTTTTTGAAACAAAGGTTTGACGTACAATTTCTAAACTCAGCTCAGTGTATTCGTAGATGATAAGCGCTACTCACTCATCCGCCTTATATGTTCCGTCGCCCACGCGATGTCCTTGGCTGTAGAGAAAGACTGGGTTGTCGGTTTCCTAGAGTACTTAGTCCCCCGCACAATCTCGTGCCAATTAGTGGCGGGCACACTCACGAGTCCACAATCTGGGAGACGACAAGCAGGAAATGAATGCAAGTTAGTGGCCAGTATTTTTGGACACGAATTGAAGACTTCCCTTCAATCGCAACATGAATGCCTCCTCTGCGCTCTCATTGCAATATGTGTTTAGCCGACAACAGAGTGAATTTAAATTCAGCTTACAACAGATAAAACAAAAAAATTCTGCGTGTGGTTTTAAGCCTCTGACATGACTCACGGCCAGGCTTTCGCTTCGCCATGACCACGCGGTGAATGCTTCTGTGGGTACTACACAGGAAGGGGCAGGCTATCTACAATACAATGCTTGCTTTGAAAGCCTACAACATACTAATACATCACACGTTCATCCCTGTATGCGCTACTCAGGGTCTGGTTACGTCTATTTATGGAAAAGTACGTTTGAAGAGAATCACATACCGGTGCAGTATTATCCAATCGAATCCGCACCGATGTCTGGTTGCGTTTCGAAGGCGTCTCGACGTTCTCGAACCCAAGCAGTGCGGTCACAGCTCGCATTACATAGTTGTGCTGGTGCTTCGCGACATGTATCTCCAACCATCGGGGCTGCTGTTCCACGGTCTTCCAGTCGGCAAGGTTTCCTCGCAATGGTGGTTCCTCTGTTGACGTCTCAACCGTATGGCCAGCGATTGCCGTGAGTGCGTTCACTAGTCCGGAATGTCCACTTAGTTTGTCTTCACCCACAGTTTCCGAAGGAGTTATGGCATCTCGTTGGTGCGTGCTTACTTCATGATAGTCCACATGTACAACACGGGGTTTGCCGTTCATTTGGCCATTTGTTGGGCATGTGGTGGAGTTAGGTGTAGTGCCGGGGGACGGTGTGGCGTCGTCGCAATCCAAGGCGCCCAGAAGATCCTTGGACTTAGATTTGAACTAATACAAAAAACACAAGAAAGATAGATGCGTTTTAGGCTTCAACGTCGTACAAAATGTACAAGAAAATTCGTGCAAAGAATTCTTGAATACACAACACATAGGTGACGTGGAAATGGCGGTCAATGATGATGTTTTGGATATCCCACCGAATTGTTACACGGTAGCTTTGTTAAGACGCACGCACATGATTGCCTCCAACTTGTACCTTGTTTGTGAGGCACTTCAGCCTATATACGATGGACATGAGCAGCACTTCTCGGCTCAGCAAAGGATCGGACAGGTGCAGAGGAACGTCCGCATCACTCACAGAAACGTTCGTATTGGCGAAGCCCCCTAAGGCAAATAGCATAGTGATGAAATGTAATATTTGAAAAGTACTTCCTCATAAACCAAAGCTGCTTAAATGGATATTGTCATCGCATTTGTAGGTTCTTCTCAAACCAGCTGAGCACAGCAGTACGGTGTAGTGCGCAGACAAAAGTACGTACCGCCCATCACGAAGAGTTTGAACAATGGAAGAGCGGTCTGGTCGTATGTGAAGTTATATTCATCCACGAGAATAAACAGAAGATCGGCACACACGGCTTCGGCTGTTTCTGCGGCCGGGCTGAGCTTCTTCAATGTATCATATGCAGCACTGCTTTCCACTTCGCTCGCCTGCAGAGCGTGGCAACTCGAATTGAGGTATATGAGGGGTGATGATAGGATGCACTTACGTGTGTGAATTCGTCGATCAAGCAAGGAGGGGTTGAGTACTGGCACAGCTGACAGGCTGCAAAAGCATCACAAGACCTACAACACGAAGATTCAACACAGAATATGAAAAGGCACAACTTGAATAACACTCTAGTATATCAATCTTAATACGAATATGCTACTGTGCTTAAGGCCTACACATACCTTCAGCGCAATAGCTGTACGAAGGGCAAGTGTTTTAAGGTGCATAGTTTGCTCTCCTTGGCCACTCATTGACTTCGTAGGTGCCGATATTTGACCGTTGTTCACTCCGCCGTCGTTCTCAGGTCCGTGCTCCGTCTGTGACCTTTTCGAGCAGGGCTGAGCTTCGATCTGGTATAGGCAATCTAAGGCTTCTGGATGATGGCCCGTACGCGCTGTAGGTTTAAAGGACACGGGGGAATAGTGTCACAGTGTCAGTGTAAGTTTGGTCCGTAGTAGTCCTGTCTAGGACCTGCAGCATCTGCTCGCACATTCAAACTCGAACACCAATATCACCTGAGCAGGCGAACTCCTTCGAACTCTATTCCGTACCCGCTCAACGGCGGGAGGGAAGGCGAGATAGGATGAGCGACAATGCAGCACGTCGATTTATGATTACTCACGACTATTTTAATCGATTCCACACATGTCGTAGGAGAAAGTTGGGACACTTGAAGGGAAGTATATGGCTGTGGGCCGCTGGAGGTAGGGAAGTAGTGTTCATTGCAATACCAACCACGCTGACTATTAAATGATGTATTTTGTCGCCATATCTTATCCTTGCAAGCAGAGCATTGATAGTGTTCATCGACGCATTGCTATATGTGCACATCTGGTCGAACAAAGACAGACATCGTCATGAGAGAACTGTAGAGGCCGAAGGTACCTCGCCATGCAAACACTGTCAATATGATCTTTTTGGTGTGCTTGCAATCAAATACCAGACACGTATGACTCTTATCAAACTTCAATTGGTCTACAATATTCATTAATACATGCATACTTTTATCTATCCACATACAAATGGGAGAAATCGAAGAGTACGTACACAATGTATGTACGAATAAGCACATCTTGAGAGTGAAATTCAGCTCGCTATTAAACAATTTGGAGGCAGGAAAGTTTGTTTAAGATTCGGTTCATATGCTGAGACGACGATGCAACAAAAACACACACAGATACAGTTCCAGAATAATTATATGTATACATATATATACATATACACAAACACACACACACACACATATATATATATATATATATAGATATATATATGTATATACACACACACACACACACACACACA